GGTAGGAATCAACCCAACAGATGAAAATTTGGGATGCCTCTGCTTTTTCTCATCTCAAACCACTGAGGAACTGTTGTTCTGGATGAAACAAACCTTCCCACCTCACCCCAAGTCTGTATTTTCTAAAAGAATTTATGTATTTTATGGAAAAGGTTCAAAAGCTGACCAACCCCAGAGTCCCCCTTTTTCAGCACTTTGGGCAAGAAGACACTCATTATTTTTTAAAGCTGCTTTTTATTTTTTTTTTTTTTTTGCAAAACCGGAGTGGACGAAGCAAAAGCAAGTTCAGCGTGAGCTCCTTGGCAAACCGAGAGCTTCCAGGCAAAAAGCAACGAGAAATGAGCATGAGCAGGGGATTTTGCTGAGAACCTGAGGAAACACGAGATTCAGCACCATAATCCATGCAAAACACGAGAACCACAAGGGGTGTTTTGGGGACATTTGTCCACACAGAGGCCTAGGCACAGGAGCACCACAGGGACAAAAGTATGTCTTGCTCAGGACAATCACTAAAAAAAAGCACCTTTTAACCTTTTCCAGAGGAGCCGTGTGTGGAGAACCAAACAGGGAGAGCAGCCAAAACCCCACAGCACCCCTTCCRCGCTGGACAGGTCAGACCTGGTGGCCAGTGGTCACCTGGGATAGTTCGGGCAGCTCTGATGACATTCCAGAAACAGCTTTTGGGGGACAATTATTACCCCAGGTGGGAGAAGAAAACAGAAAATACCTGGCTGGATTTCACATGGCCAACCAGGGGTACTTTGCCTTGAATGGATGCCTGAGGATTCCTGCTCAATCCCACCTTTCCCACAGGTCATTCACCCCATAAATATTCCATTTCCCAGCCATTGGTGCTTCCAAAGGGGTGGAGGAGACACTCCAGAGATTCACATTGATCCTTRAACCCCCATCTGGGTCAGACTCAGAGCCATGACCAACATCCGGAGGGCTCCTTCTCGCCCACCGACTAAGCTGGTCCAGGGCTGGGTTTCAGTTGGTGGCCAAAATCTTTGAGTTGGTGACCACAACCTTCCAACTGGTGACCACAACTTTAAGCTGGCAATCACAGTTTCTGGGGACCACTGGACATCTCCCTGGTTCCACTGCTCTGAGGACCCTCCTCGTGATGCTCCTCTGACCACGTGGTTTCCCGTCCCCCAGCCCACGTCCCACCAGCCAGGCTGATTTGAGCCTTTGAGCTTGTCCAGGGCCCAGGCCCTTTCCCAGCGCTCCCCGAGGCACATCAGGGGCACAGTTTGATGTAGGTGACGGTGGAACAGACTGAAAAGAGGGGGAACACCTTCTCCTGGAAGGCCACATTGAAGGTGAAGATGTGCTGCATGTTCTCGGCGTCATAGAAGGAAACCTCCTCGCCCTCGTAGTCCAGGTACACGCGGACCCGGCTGAGCTTGTGGCTGAGGCACAGCGGGGTGCGCTGGGGCGAGGTGACGGCCCAGTAGCGGCCCCCGTTCTGCTGCACGGCCCAAATCCCCTCCTCGGGGGAGAACTGCGTCAGCCCCTTCCTGCGGATGGACTCCCTGGCCACGCCGAAGGCCCAGCCGTCCGAGGGCCCCACCTCCACCTCCCAGTAGTGCCGCCCCGACGCGAAGCCCGTGGTGGCCAGGACCCGCGAGTTGGTGTCGAAGCGCTTGGGGTTGTCAGGCAGCTCCTGTTTCCTGCAGCCCATCCGGACGCTCTTGAGGTCAGCAGAGAGGATCAGCAGGTGGTTGGCCGAGTCGGGGTCCAGGGTCAGGTCCTCTGTTGGGGACAGCGGTGACAGTGGTCGGGACTCAGCAAGGGTGTGAGCAATGGAAAGCCCAATTCAGGGTGGGGGTTATCAGTTTCTGAACCCACACAGACCTCAATAATCCCACCCCAGCCCCAATGACCCCATCCCGACCACAGCAACTCCATCCAACGCCAATAACCCCCGCCCACGTGGATATCCTACACTGACACCCCCATGGACACCCCAATTCCCTTGGGGCGGGTGGGATTATTGATCTCATGCTGGTGCTGGCGAGAAATAGGGTGGCAACAACATGGGGCCACCAGGAGCAAAGAACATCATAAAAGCACATGCAGATAATTCATGGTTATTGACAGCAAAGATGGGCCTTAGATCAAGAACTTTTTTCCACATAAATTGATTTTTTATCTTGGTTTCTAGCTTGTACACACACAGGTGGGCTGTGACCTAAGGGCATCTTTCCACCTGGAGCAGCTCAAACCAAACATGCAGGTGCAGCTCAGTCCCATCAGCTTTTTTTCCCCTTTCCAAACTCAGGCTCAGAGGAAGCAATGAGCGACCTCAAATTGTGGTTGTAGTCAGCAAAGTCACCAGGATCCCATGAGACACTTAGTGGGCAGTTCAAAATGGGGCCTCAGGAGCTAAAACACGGCAGATGCTGTACCAGAAGGTACGAAATTCACAGRTTTGGATCAGGAAATGGCATAAAAATTTCCCAAAAAAGTCACAATGTGATTAAAAGCTTCACGGTACTTCGTAAAGATGGGGAAAGTTATAACAAGAACAGGGAAGGCTGAGATCATTTTTCCTTCAAAACTTAAGCACCAATTCCTCCCCAAAAGTGGGAGAGTGGCCAAAAACCAGCATCTCCTTCAGCAGAGACTGCCAATCCCACCAGCAAAATCATGGGGAAACAGGTCGGAATGAGCTGATTACATCAATGCCAATCTTTCTTATCTACAAAGTCTTCTCCTTCCTCAGGCATCTCCAGCTCCTGGAACCATCAGGATTTGGGTTTGAGGTTCAACCACARCACCGTGGGACAACACACAGCGAGTGACGCCTCTGCACATGCACCCACCCCCCTGGGCATGCAGCAAGTGGCCTTTGGCTCCTCCATGGCAGTCACACCTTCCTCCTTGTGTYTTCTGCCAACTTTTGGCATTTGCAGAGGTGGCGGGGGTGGGGGGCAGGCATTGTTTGTGAAAGGGTCCAACCCATGGGTTGTCCTCCTTTGCGACCCCCGTGCAAAAAAAACGAGCTTTTTCTTCAGAAAACTTTGCTCTGGGCACCCTCACATCAGGGGGAGGAGAACGGGCAGGGGGACRGGGGGACAGTTTTTAATCTCAAGGTGAGGTCAGAGGGGTGAGGCTGATTCCAGAATTCCTGCAGAGCCCATTCCTGGGGGCTCGTCCAGCATGGAAAAACTTGTGGGCTTCRTTTGCCAGTCAAATTCATGACTTCTTCTATGAAAAGGAGTTAAACTCTTAATTAGCTTAAAAAAAAATAAAAGTTAAATTCTGCTGGTATTTAATTTAAATTTTTAAATAATTTCCGAAATCAGCCAAATCACGCTGGGAATTAACCCCTCTGACTTCACACTGGAGTGGATGCCAGAGCTCACAGCCCCCCATCCCAATTCCCAGGGGAAACAGGAGCCCAGCAGAACAAATTTGGCAGACTAAGGGGCAGTTGTGGCTCGGGATGGCTTTTTGGGCTCAAATCTGTGGGTTTGTTAAGTGCAAACAGGCAGAGAGGACCTGGCTGAGCTGTCAGATCCCCGGCGTCAGTTAGAAAAATCGGCTTTGAGCTCTGGAGCTGAGCAGGCTGGATCTGGAAATCATCGAGAGAGAAGAAATTAAGGGGAAAAAAAGAAATCTAGARTGTCTTTTCCCTTTTTTTTTCTTCTTCCTTTTTGTCCCTTTCTCTTTGGCTTTGCGAAATACAACCACAATTTCAAGTCTTTGCTCTGGGTGCTATGTCTGAAATATCATCTTTTTTACCTTTTTCACCTCTTCCCAGTTCATCCTGCAGTTGTTCTGAAAAGGAGGAGAGACAAACATGAATGGTGACACCCAGAGAGACGAAAAGGACACCCCAAATCTCCTTTAGGGGACCAAAGCACCAGCAAGAGCTGAGGGTGGAAGAGCGCCAGTTCCTACTTGTTCATGTCACAAGGGAGAATCCCTGCTAAATATATTTAATTTTCATTAAAAATGCCCTTCTGGGCATGAAGAAAACACAGGATTTATTTAAACCATATTTATTGTGCCCTACCACATCTGTGCCTGAAGAGATTCCAAGCCTTGAGCACATACTTTAAGCCAATTCTCATCTGACRGTGTAATTTCCATTTAGAAATTATTCATATTTTTCTCTTCTAGAGCCGTTGTTTTTGGTGTTTTTTTGCCTTTCCAGCTCTCTCAACACCATCTCATGGTTTTCTGTTTTCCTGCAAGTGCAGGGCTTGGCAATCTCAGCACAAAACTCCTTGAAATTAAAGATTTTATTGCACCAAAACTGATGTTCATGCTTGGAGTTTCCCCTCTTTAAAACAGCCCCACATTTCCTTCCCCAGCAGCCTGGCGAGGACAAGTCTCCTCTTGCTTGTGCCCAGCTCCAGAACAAGGAAAAGGTTCCCCATTGTGATTTCTGGACCTATCTCGGTGCCCAGGAACCCTCGAGCAGCATCCCTGGCATTCCCACCCCTCTCTCCACGCACCAGCAAAGGCCAGGGATTATTTTTAAACATTTTCCACCCACCTCGGAATTTCTTCAAGACTTTCTCAAGGATGACGGTCTTGAGGGAGAAGTTGCAGATGTGCATCTTCATGTCGGTGCAGACGGGGATGGGCTTGTGGCACTTCACATCATCACTCCTGCCAGGGGAAGAAGGGAAAAACAAGGGATTTGTTGATATTTCCCTATTTCCATCTCCGTTTGCCWCTGATGCTCCTGCCCCATACCCCCCAGAGGATCCCGCTGGGATTTCACTCTCCTTGGGGTGAGGAAAGTAGGATTTAGGTGCGGATTTTGAGGCTCCTCTGGGGTGATGTGGGCATTTTCTTGGGTATCCCCCTCCCCCCCGCTCCTGCTGCACCTCCAAGGTCACTTTTGGAGCTCAGTGGTGCCTGAACTGCTGTGCTGAGGGAACTGTGTGTGAGCAAATAAGGGAATTTGGGGTTTCTGCTCTCATTTGACTCTTGAAGAAGCTGCCTGGTAKGAAAAAGACTGTGAAAATCAGATTTCCAAAAAGCTGGAAGAGACTTAGGGCTTGCAAAGAGCAGGGGGCAAATTCCATCCTCCCTGATGCCTCCCTCTGGCACGTGGACTGTGGACATGGACCTCCAGACAGGGATGGGGAGGGGTGAAAGCCTGGAGGCAGCAGGGAGAGCAGAATTCCATACCTGCTTATGATGCCCATCACATCCTGGAAAGGAAAAAGAGAGACTGAGTGAAATCCCCATGCTCTGTCCCCACCAGAGCGATTCCCACTCATCAAACCCATCTGGGATGGCCATCCCTGGTGGATGCAGCCAGCAGGATTCCAGCTCTGGCAGGTGACACTTCTTCCAAATCCCACCCCACTCTCTGCAACCTGGCTGCTTCAGGGGGACCCTTCCCCGTGGCCCATCCRCAAATCCCCGGCCTTGTTCCCATGGAATGTGCTGGGATTTAGGCTGGAAGGTGCCTTCAGAGGCTCCCATTSTCCCACTGCTCCGAGCAGGTTTTCCAGCTCTGTGGTTCCTCTGCCGGTGCGTGGCTGTTGTGAACCCACAGGTGAGAACCCGGCAGCCTCAGGGATGTTTYTGGGGTCTCCCTGCTGCTCTCCCACTCCTGGGAGGGCCCTGTCAACCATGCGAAGCCTTGAGGGGCAGGAGGTACCTGGCAACATCCACCTGCCCGAGGCCCCTGACACAACCTGAACAGTTCTGCACCTTGATGTCTCCGTGACTTCTGGACTCCCATGGTTTGATCACCACCAAGAAAAGCTTGGGATATCTCATCCCACCCTGGGATGGGCGGGGGAATGATGCTCCCTCAGGGAGGGTGGATTATGGAGGTAAATTAAGGTTCAAATGTGCTCGATAAAGTTGCAACACAGCAAACAGACACCGAACTGAGCCATTGTTTTTTCTCACTCTGGTGCCCTCCAAACACATTCCAAACTCCACACAAAGCCAGAGGCACCTCCCGGGGGCTGGGAAAGGACCCTGGAGCCAGCCCAGAGCTCCCAACCTGCTTTTTAATAAAACACCAGCTGTTATGGGTCGTTTCTCGTGGGTGCCAGCGCCGCCTGCGCAGAGACCACGTGGGGTGAATTTCCACCCACAGCTGAGTCCTGAAACAATCTGCAAATATTGACAGTACCCGGAATGCAGCCCGGGAGGGAATTTAACCCTGTGCAGSTCTGGGGGAGCCACCAGCACGATCTGCTCCATTTCATAAAAACAAGCTCAATTCAAAGGTCACCCGTGGCCCTCCTGCCATTGAGGGGGGGAAGAGCTGCAGGATTTCAGGATTTTGGGCACCCTGGGGTTGCTTTCCTAGACTGGAAAGGAGAGCTTGGTCTAACTCAGCTCGGAACACCCTGAAACCAAGGGTTTGGTGGTGCTAGAAAGGTCGAGACAAGTTCATGGAGGAAAAAAATTTTTAAAGTTGAAGAGGACACTCTGTTCCAGGGTGTTCTTAAGCTGGAGAGAGCTTGGGGCACCTCCTTGTACCATCCACTTATTAAAGACAGAATAAAAAAAGGACTTTTATCCCAAAACACCTCTACAGGATCCATAAACAAATTGAAAAAGGAGGAATACAGTGGTGATTGAGACCTGACATCTCACCTTGAGGAACTCAAGCATGGGCTGCTGGATTTTCTCCTCCAGCTCAGTGATGAGCTTGTTGAGGAGCGTGATCTCCTTGGAGAGGTCGGTGATGTTCTCATTCTGCCTCTTGGAGATGTTCTTCTCCATCTTCTCCAGCTGCCCCAGCAGGATGTTCTCCTGGTCATGCAGGAACTGCCGCAGCCGCTCAAACTCCGAGAGCAGTTTCTGCCGCTCACTCTCGATGGTTTTCTGGAAATGAAACACAGCAAAAAGGGGTTGACAGGAGAGAGGAATTTGGAGTGCTGGCCTGGAGGGACTGGGAACCATCATTTGGGAASGAATGAGCAGACAGAGCAGGTAGCATTCCCAGACAAAAGCCTTGGGAAGAGTGGGCATAGGAGAGCCAAACCCCTGCCCACTGGGATCTCTCGTTCCTCAGCTCTGCCACCACTCCAGTTTCTGTTGCATTTGCCATTTCAAACACCCCAAACGCCCTCCGGGACAGTGCCAGGGGTGAACAGGAACATTTTGCTCCAGGAAATGCATCCTTTGGCACCATGAAGTGTTTCATTTGCTTCACTCCACATTATCCTTCAGGACAGGTCCAGCAGGTCCACCCGGGCCCCCAAAGAAGGGCCCTTCATGCTCTGCCTTTGGCATSGTTCCTGACCCCAGGGCTCGGGGCAGACTGAACTGTGTCTAACCCTGCCAGCCACCAAAATAACAGGCAATTGCAGAGGTGCTAAAAACACCCCAGCGATGGTAGAGCAGCAAGATGGGCCAGGGCAGCTCGGAGGGTTTTGGCCCAGGTAGGGGGGACATGAGCCCCTTGAAACTACTTTTGTCTTGGAGGTGACAGTCTGGGAGAGGAATTATTTTCAGTGGGATGAGGTATTTTTCTTTCTGYTGCCACAGGGTCCTCACCCCCTCCAGGCTTCCCAACCACCCTGTCCTGGGACATACCAACAACTCCTGGGTTTTCTTATCATCGTTCACTTTGAACTCCAGCAGCTCCTGCCGCTCCTTCCTCAGGAAATCCAAGCGCCCCTGGATTTTCTCCTGGGAGCAAAGGAAGRGGATGTGACCGGTGTTACTTTCTCTCTTTCATTTCGCCCCTCTGCCTGCAGGGTTTGCGCTTTACTAAGTGGGATGCGCAGGGAAGAAAACAAGGGATGCGCTCACCRGGAAATCCCTCTGCCTCAACTCCGCCCAAGCCGGGCGGCCCCAAGGACCACCAGAACCCCTCCCCCAAAAAAGGGAAGGGCGGATGCCGGGGACGAGACGTGCTCTGTTCACACCGGCTCCTGGCACAGGCGAAGTTCGGCCCGGCTTTAATCAACTTGGCTCATCTCTGGAAGACCTCCCAGCCCCGGARTACTCGCGGGTGTTTGGCTGCGTTATCTGTTCCCCTCCCCGCGAGGCAGTGCCTGGGAAAACCCCAGAAAGCACGGCAATGCAGGAGAGGGGCGCGCTCGTCCAGAGAGGACGCGTTCTCCCAGCTTTTTGGGAGGCTGGGAAGCATCGCCAGCTGTTCCGGAGGGCGTTCGAGGCGGGGGCAAAGCCGGGTGACACCGCGGGGACAAACGCAGCTCCCCGGTGAGTCTCCCGCGGGACGCACGGACGGACAAACAGACCTTGTACTCCTCGGACGCCTCGTCCACGGGCACGACAGCGTGGGGCCGGTGCTCCCGGGACCTGTCGCACACCACGCAGATGCTCCTGCGGTCGTCCTTGCAGTAGAGCTTCAGCGCCTCGCGGTGCTTGGGACAGAGCGCGTCCTCCTCGGCGCCCTTGGCCCCGCGCAGCGTGAACTGGCTGATGATCTCGGACATGTTCGCCAGCTGCCGGTTGGGGCGGAAGCTTTTCTGGTGGAAAACCTCCCGGCACTGCGGGCACGGGAAATCCATCTCCAGGTCCTTCCAGCTCTTGACGATGCACGCCCGGCAGAAGTTGTGCCCGCACTCGATGGACACGGGGTCCTTGAAGAACTCCAGGCACACGGAGCAAGTGGCCTCGTCCTGGAGGTTTCCGGGCAGGAACACGGCTGCCATGGCCTCTCTCCTGCGGGTGAGGAATGGTTTCAGCGGGGCTGGAGCAGGAATGCCGGGCACCCGGCCCCCGGGGGCGGTGCTCTTCCAGGAAAGCGGCCGCTGCCCGAGGTCACTCCTGCAGTGTCCTGTTTCTCCGGGACAGGGATCGGGACCTGGGCACTGGGGGACACGCAGSAAATCAGGAAAACTGCCCTCTGATCCCCATAAATCCTTGGTGTCTTGGTTTTTTGTTTTTTTTTTTAACCTTTCAGCAGGGGCGGATRGGAAGAAGAAAATCTTTTGGGACACACTCCCGTTTGAGGTGTCACTGGCTCTGGGTGGCGCTGATTTGTGGCTGAGCTGGTGCTAAATCTGAGCCCTGGGACTTGTGCGGAGCAGCTGCTCCAGGCTCAAATCCAGGGAACCATCTGAGCCCTCGTTAAAGTTCTGTTTCATCCCTGAAACTTCAGCTGGAGACTCAAATGACCTGGTTGAGCTCCAGAACTCATCAAGGGACATAAAAAGCAACAGGAGAAAGGGAATACACGAGGATGGAAAGCCCTTAGCAAGATCTGTGCATGAGTTTCCCGAATCTATAAAGATCAAGCTCAGGGAGGAGAGGTTCAAGTTACCATGGAGTAGGAAATGTGGAATCCTCTGAAGAGCAATTTGTCTGCTCCTAATGAGGACTTGAAATCAGATCGATTGATCCATAAATTCTTTTCCTGATTTGAAAGCCAGCCCCTGCTGATCCAACACCTCCAAGTCGGGATCTTGGACACATCTGGAGCTACAGGGAGACAAATCCCAACCCCAGAGGACCTGCTGGAGGAATTAATGAGCAAAACCAGTCCTSGAATTGTCCTACAGAGCACTACCATCTCTGCGCATGTTTATCTGCATCTTTTCATATGTATATTTATATTTTTAATCTATTTTTATATATTTATGTCAGTGCCTATGGAAGGGGAATTCCGTCTCTCCCACCTTCTGTTTCTTTTGATCTGTAAATAAACACAACCGTGTATGTTTTTCCTATCCCACACATTTTTCCTCACGTTTCTACAGAGAAAGGATGAGGTGGTGCCTGTGAACTGGAGGTAAATCCACATCCCAACCCAGGGATGCACAACCAGCCAAGGAAAACAGTGMGAGCCCCGGACAGAAGCCAGAGGCAGCCCGGTGGGGAAAACAAGGAGAAGGAGGTGGAGTGCAGGAAATAAAGGGGCAGAGGGAACCAGCGCATCCCAACCCCTCCCCGTGTCCCCGGCTGCCCCCGCGTACCTCGGAGCGGAGGCGTCGGAAAGGGGCGTCCKGTCAAATCGCCCGAATCGCCCCGAATTTTGCGTCGGGACGGGTCTAGAGGGGGCCAGCTGGGCGGCGAGCCGGGACGCCGCGGGGTCCCAGCGGGACGGGGTCCGTGGCAGCCGCTCCGCCGAGCTCTGGCGRAGGAAACCAGCGGCGGCTGCAGCTGCGGCCGCCTCGGACATCGCGGCACCGCTCGAGCTCCGGGTCCTTGCCGGCCCTCGGGTGCCCCATTTGTTCCCTCCGTCACCACCACTCCCCTCCCGTCTCACTTACCATTCCTTCCCTTCCCCCATTGCTTCTATCCTGGGCACCCACCGGGTCTTTCCCTCCTCCTCCTCCTCCTCCTCCTCCTCCTCCTCCTCCTCCTCCTCTTTGTTCCCGCTCTCCCGGGCTCTGCTCCTCTCCTCTGTGCCAAAGCTCTTTTCCCTTCCCAGCGCCAGGATCGCGTTTCCAGCACCTCCCTTCAGCTGTCCCCAAGCCCGGACTTTCTCCGCGGGGTCTCGGCAGCCCTCTTCAGAAATCTCATCCCTCCTTCCAGAGGCTCGGCCGAGCTCGGGAAAGAGCAGAGCTTTTCACCCCTCTTCCAAAACGGTCAAAAAAATCCATCTTGCTGCTCCTATTTGGGAAGAAAAGGACAGAAACGTCTCCTGTGGGGCATCTCCCACCTGCCGCAGGTGTGTTGCTCAGGTAAAGAGATATTGGGACACCCAAACGAACAGGAACAGRGGGAAATAAAAGGAAAAGGCAGAGYGAGTCCCTGTCAGATAAATATCTATTGCCTATAAATCTATAGATCAATGAATATCTACTGGATGCATAAATCCTTTATTTCCCCAGGCTTCCAGGARCTCCCTGATGTTCCTCTCCTAAAATTCCCAGCCAGAAGCTTCCCAGACCTGCACTGCAGGAAAAAAAAAAAAAAAACAAGATGCGACTAGGAGGAAGCTCCTTGGCTCGCCCTTGGGGTTTGGGTGTCAGGATCATGTTCGGGGCCACCAGCTGCTCCCAGACCACCAGGAATGCTGAGTCTGGAGAGCTGGAAACAGGAGAGGTTGCCTGAAGCAGGGAAACAAGAACTCGAGCCACATACAGTTGCCAGTGCCGAGCCTGAAAGTTTATTTTAGAGCTGAGACCAAATCAAGGTGCACAGCGGGAGGCCCGCAGGTCCCACCCTCCCTAATTGCGGGTGATGAGCATTTGGGATTCAGTCGAGGAGCGCGTGGGGGTCCCGGTCGCGGTCCTGCCGGCTCAGTCCGTGCGCTCCTCGCCCCACTCCTCGTTGCASAGATCGGTCTCGCAGCACGAGTAGCGGGAGCTCAGGCGGGACTCGGCGTCGGATGCTCTCTCCCGACCGCAGTTCAGGGCAGAGGTGCAGCCTTGCTGGTAATAAAGGGTCACCTTTCCTACAGAGGGGAGGAGAACGCCACAAACCCCGTAAAAATTCAGAGTCTGGGATTTGGTGGGAAAACAAGCTCTGAAATATCCCCCCCCCCCCGAAATCAGGTCATAGTTTGGTTTAAATAAAAGAAAAATTAATTCAGGGGAGGCACCCACAGAGACAAACACACACCATCACCTCCTCCCCCCCTCCACTTGTCTGGGAGGGAAAGCCTAGCCTGGTCCTAAAAAAAACTTTTTGAAACTTTTTTAAGACAACCTCCATGGAAAGGATGAACTCCACCCSTCCCATCCTCCCTTTCCCAGCAGCTTCATGGCCGCATCCTCACCCATCCACAGGAGCAATTTGGTTTTCCAGGGACAGGGAGAAACTCCCTGGAGGAAAGGAAAGGATGGGGAAAGCAAAGGAACCCCTCAGCGAACGCACCCAGGGTGGTTTTGATGAGGGCACACTTCTCCCGGCGCTCGCAGGTGGTGACATTGGCGCCCCGGAAACACCCGACCAAGGGGATCTTGTACTTGCAGACGTGGCATCGCAGTGCCTCAGCTGCAGCAGAGCAGAAAAAAATGGGATCAACTTTGAGAAGAGCTGGGGAAAATCCTGCCCTGAGCGCTGGGATGACGCTGGGGGTGCCACCGTTATTAAACCCGATTTATTCCCTGCTCACCGACTCCGATGCACAGGATGAGACTCAGCCCCAGCAGCAGCAGCTTCATCGTGGAGCAGGGACAGGTCCTGAGTTCCAGGCGCTTCCCAGCCCAGCCCGGCGCTCCCTGGAATGAGAACGGCTCTGTGATGAGTTAATTTAAATTTAAATTAATTAATTAATTAATTGCTGCGATGAGTTCCCTCCCTCGGTGCTCAGACCTGGGATGGGGTGGGGGGAAAAAACCCAACCCTGCCGGTGCTTTTGTTTTGTGCCTTTTGGGGAAAAATGAGCCGAAAAAGCATGGTTTGCATCATGACATAATCTTTAGAAACTGTAATATGGGGAATTCTGGTGATTTTAGTGCTTGTGATTAGCAGGGCAGGAACGTCCCATGGGAATAAAATTATTTAACGAGGAAAAAAGGCACTTTATTGCCAAAGGGGCTGAGACGCGGCGCTGGTAACTGAACCCATACCAAGCGGATTGGGGTCCATGAAAAGAAAAAAAAAGATCAGATTTTATTGAAGAGAAAAATTACAACACATCGCCCAACGTGGGGCTCGAACCCACGACCCTGAGATTAAGAGTCTCATGCTCTACCGACTGAGCTAGCCGGGCCTGCTCGGGGAGTTTTACACTAAAAACATAAATTGGATGTGCGTTAGTAAAATGTCTAATTATCTAATAACTAAATTAGTTTCGATTTTACCAAACATAAAAATAAGAGTATAGAACGTAAATATCAAAGTATAGAATATGAAACTATGTGGAAATATTAAATACATATTTATGTGTTATAAAACAGGACATATTTAAGTACTAGAAATATATTTTATCTATTCATTTACATATTATTCTATATGATGTATTAATATATTTTATATGTAATATGTTCAAATATTATAAATGCTCCCCGGGAGTTTGAAGGGATGTTGGGGTGATACCGACGGACACGGAGCGCCCAAGGACAGCCCGGCAAATCCCCCAAAAGCCCCGGCGCGGGTCCCTTACCCAACTCTCCGCTCCCTCCGCATTCCCGGCGCCGGCGCCCCGCGCTCCCTTTATCCCCGCGCTGCCCTCGGGGCCTGAACGACCCCGGAGCCCTCGGGAGACGCCGCCCCCGGGGAACAATGCCCGGGAGCAGCTGGACAAACACCGGGACACGCGGTGACCCCCGGCGGCCGCACCGTTCCGGGGCTCCGGAGTCCCTCTGTGCCCCCATCCCAAACGGGAACCGGCCCAAAGAACCCGCGTACCGCGGGACTGGGAAATGGGGATAGAACCCGGGGATTTGGGAAATGGGGGTAGAAATGGGGATAGAACGCTGACCCGGGGATTGGGGAAATGGGGATGGAACCCTGAGCCGGGGAATTGGGAAATGGGGATAGAAATGGGGATAGAACCCGGGGATTTGGGAAATGGGGATAGAACCCGGGGATTTGGGAAATGGCGATAGAACCCTGACCCAGGGATTGGGGAAATGGGGATAGAAATGGGGATAGAACCCTGAGCCGGGGATTGGGGAAATGGGGATGGAACCCTGACCCGGGGATTGGGGAAATGGGGATAGAACCCGGGGATCTGGGAAATGGGGATGGAACCCTGACCCGGGGATTTGGGAAATGGGGATAGAACCCGGGGATTGGGAAATGGGGATAGAACCCAGGGATCTGGGAAATAGGGATGGAACCCTGACCCGGGGCTTTGGGAAATGGGGATAGAACCCTGACCCGGGGATTTGGGAAATGGGGATGGAATCCTGACCCGGGGATTGGGGAAATGGGGATAGAACCCGGGGATTTGGGAAATGGGGATGGAACCCTGACCAGGGGATTGGGGAAATGGGGATGGAACCCTGACCAGGGATTGGGGAAATGGGGATGGAACCCTGACCCGGGGATTGGGGAAATGGGGATGGAACCCTGACCAGGGGATTTGGGAAATGGGGATGGAACCCTGAGCCGGGGATTTGGGAAATGGGGATGGAACCCGGGGATTTGGGAAATGGGGATAGAAATGGGGATGGAACCCTGACCCGGGGATTTCATCTGCATGGTCACGGCCTTAATTAATGACAGGAATAATTAACGACAGGACGTGATGAATTCCCCTGCCTCCTTGCTCCAGGTTATTTCCAAGGCCTTTGGTGCCAACCCCATCCCGGTGTTTGTGCAGCTGTCCGGACAGTACCGGGACCTTCCCGAGCGTGAAATTCCTGGTGTCGATCCAATCCCTCCGTTTTAGGGCATAAATCCTCAYTTTTAACGAGCTAATCCTCATTTTTAGGGCACAACCTCTCCTTTTTAGGGCACAAACCCTCTTTTATAGGGCTCAAATCCTCACACYTAAGTTCCAAAGCCCCCTTTTTGGGCACGATTCCCGTTTTTATGGCAAATCCCCTCATTTTTAGAGCACAACCMCTCACTTAAGGACATAAAGCCTATTTTTAGTGCACAAACCCTCCAATTTATGGCACAACCCCCTCTTTTTAGGGCACAATCCCTCATTTCCAAATTTTTGGGTTTATCTCAGTTTGATTAGGGTTTCTTTTCTGTTGCATTGTGGGGTTTTTTACTACTAATGGGGTGAATAAAACCAGTAAAACTGGAATAATATTTTAAAAATGAAAARTTATCTAATAAGATAAATAAACATAATAATGATAAATATTAAAAGAATTTTAAAACAAATAATGAAATAAGACTAAAGGTTTAGACAATAAAAATATGTAAGCAAAAGAATAATAGTTTTAAAATTATAAGAAATAAACGGTAAAAAATCTCAGCTTTGGGTAAGTGAGGAGGGAAAAGGAAAATAAACTCCGCCCAACGTGGGGCTCGAACCCACGACCCTGAGATTAAGAGTCTCATGCTCTACCGACTGAGCTAGCCGGGCTCCTGCGGGTGAACGCTGCAGCTTTCCAAGAAATGGATGGAGGCCAGAAAAAACGCGATTTTCTGGGACATCAGGGCAGAGGCCGCCGCACCTCCCGCGGCTGCTTCCTCTGAAGTTAAAAACCTTTTTAATCAATGCGTCTTTTT